TGGTCTTCGTCGACGTTGAGTCAATAGTAAGTATCTCAAGCATCGTAGAGTCCAACGAGGACGCACGAGCGTCGTAAACCTTCTTTTACGTCGAGATTAATAAACTGACGGCGAAACAACACAGTGCCCAAAGTGAAGACCTGTTGAATTTAACACGATCCTTCGACAGGATATAATCAAGAGTCCTGTTGTTCGACGCTTTGAGAATTTTACGAAATTCATTTTTAATCAGTTGGCCGCGGTAACAAAAGAAACACCGTAGGCAACGGTATAAAATTGTTGGCGTCCGTAATACCATTTGCTTCAGACAGTTACAGGCTCCCACCGTGGAGAATACAATTTAGAGGCACACTTTCTCGTAATCCGTGAACAAAGATGCACTGCGCCGCGCCGGAGGAGATAGAAGTGGAAAAAGTAGGCGAACCAATCGTGATACATTTATCAGGCGAAGTCACATTTACGATGCCCGAGAGTCTGCGGTTGAAACTCGGTCGGCTCGAGAAGGAAACGAAATTAACCCCGACTCTCTTACGTCCTCCTTTCTTCCGTTTCATCTTCCTTACGTGCGTCTTCGCGATTTCATTTTACACTCGGCAATGCCTTCGGTCAGCTTCTTATTTCCGTCGTCCACTTCCACCCGAGTTTGTTCAGTTTGTCCTTTCGTTTTCATCATCGTATTTTTGGAATTTCTTTCTATTCCCATTTTTCAATCCTCATTCCCCTTTATTCCTGCTTTCCCTCTTCGCTCGACCCATCTCGCGTTCCCATAATTTCTACTTCGTTTTCTCCCTGCTCGTATCCGCTCTCGGCCGGCTCGATTCGACGGTATAATATTGTTTGTTCGCTTCCGTTCACCGAGCCCACTTGTAACCCATTGAACCAGCCGCGATGCAACACCGACAGAGGAGAGTGGTCCACAATGACACAAGTCAAATCGAATCTTTTTCTACGTGCTGCGTCGCATCGATCGCGAGCACGCAGCAAGTATATTTGGATAAAAATTATTCTCGTTCGAACGTCAAAGGAAAGTCGGATCGATGAAAGAAGTCGAATTCTAAAAATGTTCTAAAGGAGAATTTTTATAATTCGGGGCTTAATCTCGGTGAATGTTGAATAAAAGTGACGCAGAAATACCTCGTATGGTAGAATCGTAAAAGCTGTCCTGAAGATTTAATTTTTATTAATTCTAAGCTCATCTACGTTCCGATTTAAATAATCCTACCCTCTTTGAAGCATTTAGTGCTTAATCCAGTGGACGAATACTACGGAGTTCCTTTTAAAGGATACATATAACGTCGAATCGTATTCCACGGCGTAACGTAATCCCGTAATCTCGTTGGCCAGTAATTTCCCACTAGTTGAAAAATTACGCGGAAGCCAGAATGAAAAATCAGGGGGATTTCGCCGGAGACAAGCGTGACGCTAAATGAAAAAATAAAAAAACGAATGTCCTCCCACGCACCGGCATCGCTCGCTTCCGTCCTGCGCCCTCGTTGCAGCGGTGAGAGAGAGGAATCGAGTAGGTTACGGTGCTGTGAATTTCTCGCCGTACGAATCGGGGGAGACGCGAATCCCGTCACGGAGATACACAAACGATAACGATGAAACAACAGAGGGGAGAGAAAGAATAGCACCCGGACTCGTGGCAGATTCGTACTACGAATAAAGGCCAGGGGAACGTGAGTGCTCGATTCGGAGAGAGCCGCGGGCGACACCGGTTCGTCGGCGAGGAACGTCGCCGAGTTTTCGGAGAATATTTTCAAACGCTGGAACGAGGCTCGTTTGCCAATCATAAGTAACGCGTGACAAGAAATATTTTCTATAAAAGCTTCAGAGCACACCGGCACTGTTTCGCGATAAACCAATTACTCCACTACGCAAATTATTTGAAAAATGAAACGTCGTACAAAATGAAATCTAGAATTTGTTTTACCCTTGAAAAATAATAATGTGCATTTTATTTTTTCTATGAACACACAGAATCCGTAGTTCATCACTTATGTATAAAGATCGACCAGAATCCATTGTGCCACGGTTTCGGAGTAACCCACCAACGATCCCAGTATCTTTTTTGTCATCCCACGGCTTCAGCTGTTCCGAGAAGAAGATTTCTACCTTGAAGTGGACCGTGAATAACAGCGTTTCACCTGGGCACAATTGTGCGCGACGCTGCCACGGTATTAATAAAAATGCATCGGGTCGAACCATCCTCGATTGCAGCACGTTATTGTGCAGTTTTCATTAATAGAGAAAACAGAAATCTCACCTCTTTGCGAAACGCGATGTTAATCAAAACGAAGCGAGTTTAAAATTGAAATAAAAAGAGTGTACGATCGTTTCATGGAAAACGAGGAATGAAATAATAATCGATTCATTTGGTGGGAAGAGAGATTTGTTAATGAATCGATTTGTCATCCCGTCGAAACTGTGATAACCGTGTATCGGATGCTTACTTGGGATGTTTGAACATCGTCGACGATATTACAAAAGGATCGTGTCGATATCGCTGAATATTATGAAATTAAACACGATTTACAGTATCTTCTCTCAAAATGCATCACCGTTGTCAAACAAATCCGGCAGTGTTTGCTGCAAACGAATGACACGGCAAACATGCTCACGTCCGACTAATATTTGTCTCAGGCAAATAGAAAACTAGTCGTTCCCGATACTTCTTATGATTCAGGTCGCACGAGCAAACGATAAATGCATTCGCTGTTATATTAGGCACGTTTACCCGAAAATACATATTGACGTCGGTTGATCGCTTAATACCTATCTAAAATCGGGACAACAACACGTTTGGTGTATAATATTTTAAACTCGAGAGAATTTCTCGCGTTTCACCAAGTGGACGTAAAACGATTGCTGCCGATTATCTTTATAGCTTTAACTAAGATTACTCTAGTGATTCGCTTTGGCGAGGGCCGTTTCACTCAAGATTCTACTTGGCGATATACAATTCCAAACGAGTTTAAGACGCACGAGCATGGGAACGCCTACGTTTGCAGTTCGGGCACACGAGCCTAGGTAATATACGCACAGGAAATTCCTCGACAAAGGAAGGAAGCGCGACGACCTAACTTATTAGCGATAATAACGCTTGAAAAACGAAAGAAAAAAGGGAAGGCTTTTGTGCATTTACATTATGACGACCAATTTCTCACGTCAGGCAAATCAACTATCAAACGAAATCGACGAGAAGGGAAAAGGTACATTGGAACACGGAGGAGCTAAAAGGGCGCACGGTTCAAGGAATCCGCTCACGGACGATGAACAACGTTTTATATCTGCCCGATAGGCCACGGTTCACGTAGGACGGCAATTTCAGCTAAGAATTCGAGCAAACGAACCGTAGAAAAATCCTGTATAGGCAACGACACGACGAGCCGTAGCTCCGAGCCAAGTTCCGTTACGGAGATTAATTGAAGTCCTCTGTCTCTCTGTTAAAACACGCGCTTTACGCCACGCCAACGGAGATCCTTTCAAACTCTCATCGTCCCATACGTTTTTCCGACACACGTACCTCCTCCGTGATCGAATATCGAAAATAAATGAACGCACTATCGGTTATCGGAAATTGCTATTAGATCGATTCACTGACGAGTATCCAACGGTGTACACACACGGAGGCAAGGGTAGACGAATAGAACGTGCGGTTCCAACACCGGTTGATCGCGGACTGAAGAGGGAAACCAAGTCGGCCAGTCGACCTGACCGCGGCCCTCCGACGGGCCCACGGTGGAGGGGACCGTCCCCTCGTTTCAGAAGCCCTCGAGGTAGGACCGGATCGTGGCAGGGTTACCGGCCGCCTGCTGTCAGACGGCGAGAAACGACTTCTGCCCACAGAGTTATTATTGCACTCGTTATTATCGTTATTATTCGGTCGGGTTTTTGTTCGCCACCAGTTAGACGCGTGGACTCGTAAACGGAAACGTCTGCAGAAGACCATCGTTTACTACCGCCAACTACATTTTATTCAAGTTCCCTAACGTCGTACACCTTGTGCTACCGAATTTCATTTGTATAAAGCGATCGAACGTTTCCATCGAACTCGTCGTAAGTTCTCGTGCTAAATATCAGTGGCGCGAATATTCCCGTGAGCCGACGTAGCTCCGTCAGTATGTATGTACTATGTAGAGTACGTTTGAAAAAAAGGCAACGGAAAACTATTCAGACGAAACACAGCGAGCGTACGCTCGCGTTAACGACCATACCAACCACCGGCTGGCATAGTATTTGATTAACGACGTTGGCGTGCAATTAGAGCGGCTAGAAAGTATCTTTAATATAAAAGCCGCAATGAATCCTCGCGGGTTTTAATTAAACAGAGTCGTACCTATCGTGTTTCCCTCTCTTTGAGCCGCAGATGTTTCGGTTTTAAAACAGGGCCGAAGGTGAATATCTCGTAACAAGAAAAGAACCGAGGAGGAAAAGTACGTAAGGGAGGAAAAACAAAATCCGTGGTAACATCGCGGAAACACCTGAGACGAGGAAGAAAGAAAGACCGGTTCGCGATATCCACTGTACCTGACGCGAGACAATACATTATTGTGGATGCACACACCCGTGTCAGCTCGCATTCACGAACGTGCCGTACGCAGGCAACATTTTATTCGCGCGCGCCTCTGGTAGACATTTTTCTACTGTTAAATGTAACAACGATACCCGGGAACACGGGGATCGAATACCAGACCATTGTTTCTCGATCATCCTCCGAGCGACGTGCATTATGTTTCCATGAATTTACAAGTTGCGTTTACCCTCCATGCCCATCGTTTCACCGCTCTTTGCCACAAGTTTTCTGGTAAATTGTTTGCAAAATGTGAAGCAGGATCGTGCGATGTTACCTTTGACCCTCGTCGGGATTTAGATCGCATTATGACGTAAAGTATTTCACTCTTTAATCTGTTACTAGGGCAGGAGAGCGTGAATCGACAGACGAGAGGCGAAGCCGGATTTTTCATTTAAATGAAACCTCGTGAATAGATCGCACTCACCGTCTGCATACGTGGGTGCCCGGTGTCAGCTTCGCGCGAAACTTAAACTCCGAGTTTCTCTTAGAAAGAGACGCTTGGGTTGAGGGTGTACGTACCTGTGACAGAGAGAAACGATCAAGTCAGATTACGCTCGCTATTTTTAGACTTCAAAGTGATTATTTTAAGACGAATTAGAATCAAGTGTCGACAACTTGAATCGTCTTCATGTACAAAGTAACTCGACGCCGCTGAAGATCAGATTTAATGAAGATCATCGAACGAATTTGTTCGTGTATTTTCGTTGAACTTTGCAATGAAATTAATGATCAGTGGTTTTAAATGCCGTTCAGTGCACACATCGATTAACTCCACTTTTTGAAAAATCTTAAATTTATGTGTCAAAGCACTTGGTATAATCATAACTTGTGCTTTGACACATAAATTTAAGATTTTTCAAAAAGTGGAGTTAATCGATGTGTGCACTGAACGGCTCATTTCTTACTCATTCGTATTTCTTCTGAAGTCATTTAGAGATAAGAGAAAAACATTCGAACGATTAAATTTTTTAACCATTAAATTTTTTGCTAACGATTTACAGCAGACAGATTGCGGAGGAGCAACTAATTCAATACGATTTGCGTTATCATTGGCGCAAGACTCTCGGCTAATTCTCAAGCTGCTCGAGCCCACTCGACCTCCTCGGCCTCCTCCTTCGACCCTTATCTGAAGTGGAAAGGCGGCGGAGGAGGCGCAGTGCCAGCTCGAGCCAATGCTTTTCCAATAAGCTGCTGAAATTCTGCTCGAAAGGGGAAGATCCGTGGCGGTCGAAAACCGGGGGAATCCGACGGGTAAGAATCGAGGCACGATCTTTTGGGAGGCAGGAAAAAAGAATACGAAGAAGGAATCGAAAGAAGGGATGACTCTTAGCTGAATAATGCACGACGCGTATATCCTTAGTCGGACTCTCTCGTGTCTTTGGACTTTCGACAACTGCGAGAATCAGCTTTCGCGAATTCCTTATCCCCTTTGTCTATCCTATCCCCTGCGGCTGTCGACGCCACGTCAGGAATCGTCTCGCGACTCGCCCTTTAATGAAATTTCTTACACAAACTGTGCCCGCGCTTCTTACTTCGCGCGTGTCAATGTTCGACGCGTGTACTCCGGTTTTTAAGAACCACCAGACCGAAGGGAACGAGTGTGCTCTTCTCGTTGATTATAAAGTCGTCGTAGCGAACTTTCGAAATAATCTTTTATCTTACTTAGTGTCCGGCGTCAAGGGGTTAATAATGAAAAGGAAGTGGAAGCTCAAAGGTGCGTAAAAAGGGTTTTTAGGCAAATTACTGACTATTTTTCTCCGGTGTTCCGTAGCGTAAAAGGTTTCACCGTCGAGCTCCGTCTTCTATTAGAATAAAGAACGCTGCGCCATTCTGCGGTACGTCATAATTTGAATATCATCGATTTTAATGTTTTAACAATAAATACAAATTTAATCAGCTCCAAGACGTTGAGTTTCGACGGTAATGGTGAATAGACATGAGAAAAGAACAAATGAAGTTTACAGGAAGGCATTTAGTGGAACAATGAACATCGGTGTGGGTGAAGAGAACAGGCTAGACCGTATCGACGGCTTTGAGAATTTAAGTGCTCTTGTATTTATGTAGCTACAAATTATACAGGACACTATGAAACGTTCGAAACCTTCTATAGATAAATCGATACTGGTACTCGTTCCCTCTTTGAAGAGGAGTTGTAAATTCAAAGCGCATTATCGATGCACGTTGCGACTAATCCCTCTGAACATACACACGTGCACGTGTCTATGCATTTTATCTGTACATCATCGATATTTATTAAGCAATTTAATAATTGACGCTAACGTTCGAGATCCAACGTATTCCAATTTTTATTATTGATACTCGAAATATATTTTTCAATATCTACGTGTACGTGTCTTTGATCTTATCGTCGATGGAAACAGAAGCTCTCTAAAGAACGTTACACGTTGGTTCCATTAAAACGGACAGGAACCGATTCCATGGGTATGTATATGTACGTTTCTAAGGGCTATCAGTACCTTGGAACGTGGCTACCTCCTGCTCGTCAGAGGCTGCGATCTCCAGATGGGCTTGTTAACCGTGGCACACAGAAAACAAGGCGCCGGAGCCCCTCGCCCTCGTAGCAAATGCTACAAGGTTTCGAGGAGCAGCTGTCGTTCCACGGTAAAAACTGGGAGGCGACCAAGAGGAAAGACGTCCGCGAGCATCTGCATAGTCCGAGTTACAGCTTTCGTACCCGTGGGTGCGAGGCGAAACGGCACGAGTCACAACTCCTCAGGAATATTTGAGTTAATTGGCCACAGGATTTATGCTCTCGGCACGGAGAACGTATCGAGGGAACCGTGTATCGGCAGACGGAATTGGCGAAATTCGAAAGAGAGACATACACACGTTCCGACCGCAGACGTAGCTGGAATAATGTCACAAGAACGTAGAAAGAAAATTCACCACTCGTGAACGTCGAGCCGTTTAACAACAGCTGACACGTTTCACGCGCGCGAGCCACCCACGCGTTGGTTTCTTCTTTGGGAGATAACACCTCGGCACGCGTCCACGGTGAACACCGTGAATCGAGAATAAGACTGGACGATGAGACGTTACGTCCACGCGAAACGAGATCTTGTTCGTGATTAATGGGGCGTTACCTGCGCGACGTTCGTCGTTCCGGGAAATTTCTATCTCTTCGCTGAACGATACGGAATAAGAAATGTTTGAGGCAAAGAGATGAAATGCGTGCGTATGTTCCACGGGAGTAAGAATTGAATACGCGTTGCATAGAACGTAGTATCGGGGAAAAGTTTTCTTGTTCGAAGAGTATGATTTTTACCGCGGTATTTTGTACGGGCACTTTGCAAAGAGAAACTCGAGAGAATGAAAGCAGCAGAGATTCTCCCATGAATAGAAATCGTTAGAGAATGAAATCGGACCATATCGCGAAGGAAGGAAATAAAATGCGGGGGAAACATTCGATTCCTATTGCATTAAATCCTATCCCGGAATAGATTAAGCGTGAAACCATGAGATTCAATTTAACCCAGGGAAAATATGAAACGAAAAAAGGTAAGGATATCCCGATGGGATTGAAAGTAACTTCGCGTGTTCCTCGTTAATTCTCGTTGCGCTGTTTCACGGATTAACGAGTTCGATAAATTGCTGGATATGGGAAATGGATTAATACCAACGGTCGTATTCGAAGAGGATTCGCAGGGAAACGGGGAACGGCGCGGGGAGAAATTCGTTATTTATGAAGTCGGAAACGCCTGAAATCCGAAAGGTCCAGGTGAACCTACAGACACCACCTGCTGCCTTCAGGGCCACCGTGAGCCCCCGATACGTAGGCCACGTGGGTCTCTTGTCCAAGATTCGTGAAAAACTGCTCGGAACCCTCGTTTCGTCCGTCGAACACCTGCACGCCGAAAATGACTTGCCGAAATATCACGACCGACCGCCAGAAGAACACCTCAAACAATCTTTGCAGACGTACGACCATTTCGTATCGAAAATATTGTACGGAAATAAGGTCGTATCGCTTCTGTCGTTTTCCTAAACCCGATTAATAGTTACTCGATAGACGGAAAATACGATGGAACACGATTCGATGGAAATACGGTGGAACAAAATAGAAGTTTCTAATTGAGCAAAAGCTCGATTACGGTTCGAATACGTCTTCGACTTAACGACGAATTTAATCGCCCAGTAGTGAATTAATTTATCCCGAGACAGAGGCAAAATAAAGTCCCGAAGGCGAGGAGAGTCCCGATCCGATCGTAATGAAGATATCGATCGTGTCTCCCGTCTTTTCTCTCTTATCCTCAATTCAAAATATCTCTGCCGGTCGCGTCGTTTGCGCGCAATTTATCCATGCAATCAAGGATTTCAATTATCCCGAAAATATCCACGGCACCGGCACCCTTTTTCATATCTCACTTATTCTCTGTCAGAATTATAAATATCTTACTTTTGGGAAACGATTTTTATTTTTAGAGAAGAAAATGCAAATTGCGCGAGCATCAGACGGTTCATCGTTAATCGAGCATCAGCAATCTTAGGAGAAAGCAATAAACTACGTGTTTGTGCAACAAGAGCATTCGGTTTTGGTATACGTCGAGTGTATTACTTTCCTCAGCGGACGCAATATCCTCTGTTCTATCAGTCGGCGTAACTTCAGAGCGAAACTCGGGTTCGGCTTGGTGAAAGCCGGCGTAACTCTTGAACGAAATGAAACGGAGGAAACCAGCCTCGTGTAGGAAAAGAAAATGGATGAGAGAGATCGGCGAATCCGCCGGATATCATATTTTCTCGCAATGCATTACACCAGACATCGACTGTCCCATTCTCTCCCCCGCGTTCGGCTTCTCTCGTGCCGGTCGCCCTTTCCCCAAGGCGCACTGTACCTTCGGCACGAGTAGAAACGAGGTTAGGGGAGAATGACTAAGTGCGACGAGGGTGGGTCATGTGAGGGGAGAATCGCGAGGGGTGAGATCGGACTTTCCTGAAATTTCCCTAAGACTCGTTTAACCTCCTTCCAGCGCGCCCTTCGGCGACGATGTTTCCGATAACGGGAGATGTGTGTGACCATTGGAGTTTTATATTACCAGGAGAAGTTGGACAATCTCAAGTCTAAATCTTTGAACTTCTTAGAAAAGAAAAATCTAACAGGGAACACACGTTCGTCGTATCTAATGACCGGTCGATCGCCAGCAGAGCCAAGTCTTATAATTTTTTCTCGCACCCCGTCGCACCGCAATCACCGTTCAATTTCCGCCTTGCTTTTTCCAACGTTCGTATTGCTCGCACTTTCGAGCCACCCCGTATTGGATGACGAGGGCGGTTGGAAAATCGAGGGTGGAACAGGGTGACTAACTCTACGAGCTCGAAGAGGGTGGCCAAGAGTACTTGCCGCGAATACCAAGTGTCCCTGATACAGGGTGTCCCCACGAAATATTTGCGGCACACAGTTCTATCGGCAGACCCTCGCTTGTGTTTCTAATGGCCTCGTGTTTCGGGTCTCCTTACAACTTCTGTTTACCGAATTATCAGACTAGTCGTGCCCAAAGAAA